GATGACTACATCCCAACAAGCAGTGCTGATGCCGATGACCATCTGCATAATAGTCCCTGGACCACGGGGGAATCCCAGCTTTATGGGCTTCCGCGCCACCCAGTACACGTACCCTCCCGCCCCTATCAGCCCCGCCCCTGAAAGCACGTGACAGCTCCAGCAGTTATTAAATAGAGGGGCTTCTGCTGGAGAGGTCGGTGCTCCAGGTGCAGGGAGGGGCAGCAACTCGGCAGAGTTGGTGGCCTCAGGAGGCGCAGGGACCTTGATCGGCTGCAGAGGCTGGGACAGGAAAGAACCCATGTTCAGGAGCTTGGCTTCAGCGATGGGAGTCTACTTTTCCTTCTTTTAAATCATTTCTCTCTGAACTCTTCTGAGGCTGTTATTATCTCAGCCAACTTAATGGGGAGTTAGAGTTTATCAGCTCCTCCACAGATTTGTACCAAGTTCTTTATATACATAAATACTGATACATTTCTCTTTTTATTTTTTATTTTTTTTAACCACCTCTACCTGCCCAACACTTTCTCTTTAGCTTCCTTGCTCCCTTAAAATCTGTGCTAGATTTGAAACTTCTGAGAGATACTGTTCTATTTAAATTCTCAGCATCAGCCTGATCACCATCTGCTTAACAGATAGTCTCAGGGACTGTTCGGTGACTAAGATGGAGTTTCTCTTCCAAGTTTCACTGCAAGTTCTCTCTCCAAACGAGTGAGGATTCCTTTAGCTGCCACCAGTTACATTATGGATAATCATAGCTTCACCCAAAAGGAAAACACAGGACCATTTTCTTTTCCTGATCTTAGATGGGGAAACCTTGCAAGATTGGATTCATCCCTGAGAAATATCATTGCATTAAGTCCTGTTTAATCAAAACTAAGGCTCTTGGCATTTTTTGCTTATCACAGTGACTACCCAGCTAATTGGTGTGAATAAGGAGAACAATCCTAATCTTCTGAGATTCATAATTAGGATCATTTATTATATTTGGGTGCATCAATCATACACCCAGGATGCTTTTATTTTTGCCACACCAATTTAATCATCCAATTGCTTTTCTCTGTGGTTGGAATGAATAATTGAATTATGCATGTTATCAATCCTTTGCCATAAGAATTTTGTTAAATCCCTGGATGTTTGCTCTTCGTTTAAAGCCAAAGAAACTTACCTTCAGCAATTTTGGGAATCTGAGAAAGAAGAAACAGGAAGATGGGGAAGAATATGTTTGTCCAATGGAATTGGGACAGGCTTCAGGAAGTACCTCTAAGAAAGGATTTAAACCTGGATTGGACATGCGCCTATATGACGAAGATGATTTGGACCGGTTAGAGCAGGTAAAGGCAACACAATATACCTATTTTATTTAAAGTTCCTCCAGTGGGGCACCTGGGTGGCTCAGTCATTAAGCGTCTGCCTTCGGCCCAGGTTGTGATCCCAGGGTCCTGGGATCGAGTCCTACATCGGGCTCCCTGCTCAGCGGGAAGCCTGCTTCTCCCTCTCCCACTCCCCCTGCTTGTGTTCCCTCTCTCTCTGTCTCTCTCTCTGTCAAATAAATAAAATCTTTAAAAAATAAAAATAAATAAAAATAAAGTTCCTCCAGCAATGAAACACTAAATGGAAACTTGGTGCACTGTGTCTACTAATCAGTTTTTCCTCAAATACCTGAAAATAAAGATAATAATAAAATAATAGTGAACAACTTCCAGGTTGCTTACTATGTCCCAGGCACTGTCCTCAGCACTGAACATATATCAGCTTTCACGGTGACCCTAAAACATACAGAGTGTTGTTACCCTCATTTTAGAGGGAAGGAAACTGAGGCACAGATAGGTTAAGTAACTTACCCAAGATAGAAGAGCTGCTAGAAGAACTGGGGTTCCAAGCTGCCAGGCCAGCTCCAAAGTCTGGCTCTTCACCTACGTTATACTGTCTCTGTATTATGGAAATCTGTGTTTTAAATCAAGTCAGAAATACACAGCTCATTTAGTCTTTTCAGTGCGAAGTCCTGGATTTGAATATTGTCCCTTAGTCACCGATCCTTTGAGGTCATTGTCAACATCAGAGCATTAGGCTAGATGTGCCAGTAAAATGTCGTTTGTCTCATTTTTAGCATCTGGTTGCTGTAACAAAAGGAGGTATCATCAGAAGTGTTCTGTTGCTCCCAGCCCGTTCAGTATCACTTGCATTATTTCCTCTTAGACTTTTGCTCATTTTGCTGTACTTTCTTTGAAATTACACAAATGAGTCGGTCATGTGATGGTGTGTTCTTTGCAGATGGAGGATTCAGAAGGGACGGTGAGACAGATAGGAGCGTTCTCTGAAGGCATCAACAATCTAACAGTAAGTCTGTAAAACGAAGTTAAAATGTTATTCTAAAGGGGCGCCTGGCTGGCTCCGTTGGTGGAGCGTGCGACTCTTGATCCCTGGGGTTGTGAGTTCGAGCCGCACGTTGGGGGTAGAGATTACTTAAAAATAAAATCTTTAAAAATAATAATAAGATAAAAAATAAAATGTCATTCTAAAAAGATGTTTAAAAATAACCCCAAAGGACTGCATGTTTAGTGGAGGATGTGTTGTGCCAAGCTCCTGGCTCCCAGGGTGCGTGACCCCCATCTCCTTGTTTTCCAGCACATGTTAAAGGAGGATGACATGTTTCGAGATTTTGCCGCCCGTTCCCCCAGCGCCAGCATTACTGACGAGGACTCCAACGTTTAAGCCAAGCACTTGGTTGAGCATGAGGAGCCCCTCGTCTTTTCTCCACCTGATTTCTCAAACAGCTCGCAGAAGATCTAATAAGCAGCAGATTGTATACAGTTTATCATTCCACCTTCTCAGAAGTGGAAACGGGAAGCGGGGGGGTGGGTACCTATTTTGAAGATGCCATGAAAAATGAGACACTGGTGAATGAGAGTATAATTGTCCTCTATATTTAATGTAAAAATATGTGATATATTTAAAGTGTTGCATTTAATTCGAGTGTTTTACCTAGCGTTTCACGTTCACATTCAGCAGTATGCAGGATTTGGGAAGCGGGAAGCAGTGCGTGGATGATCTTGTCACGTCTGTGTGACTGCCCTGCGGCCATCAAAGCAGGACATTACATGCTTCCAAAAGCAGTATGTGGGATTTCTTCATGCGTTCAGTGTGCCCGCTAAATGCCAGCCACACCTCCACTTGCCTCTTATTGTCCTATTTTATATATTTTTCTAAATACGTGTATATATTTAGTACATAGAAAATAGAACTTTTATTTTGTGACATACGGAAGATGGTGAAAAGCAAATACAGTGATCAAAATGGTCATATACCAGCTGGTCCTTGGAAAGGTTGGGATGATCTCTCCTTCTCCACAACTGAATTTTAATGATATTACTATCGATCATCCCAACTAAATTAAGATATATGAAATACCCCTTCTTTGATGACACATCACCCAATGTTGAAGAGTTAAAAAAGTTTCAACCTCCATCTTGGATCCTTTCACCTCAAAAGGAAGAACGCCAGGGATGTTTAAATACTATTAACGCGAATGCATTCAGAAGTTCCCCCCAAATTTGTAGAAATGATTTCTGAAGAAACCAAACCTAAACAAAAACCTTTACAGTATTAAGCTGCTTATTTTCCTTCTTGCTAAATATATCATTACATCAAAATACTAACAATGTACCTACTGTTATTGATTGTACATTTCTCAGGCTATCAATGAATGGGATTTTGTTAAGCTGAATATTCGTCTGAACATTTTGTCTCAGAGTTCAATAACGCTGAGGCTGCAAAATGAGTTTTAGAATGGCTATACTGTGATGAGAAAATGTAGTTCATGTTTTTCTATAGCACAGGGCCCAGACAGCATCTCTAAAGGGGAGAGCCGTGGCAAAAACTTACTGTGTTTATCATTTTTTTTAGGGGAATTCAAAAAAAATCCTATTTTTTATTCACTACTACATCACTTCTCACAATAGCCAACTTCGTAAAGACAGGTTTTCATAAATTGGCATGGGGATGGGCAGTTCAGTGTGTGCCAGTGGATTTGCTTATAAATTATATTTAAATGTCAGTGGTGTGATCTTGCAAGCTATTAGCAGGTTACCAAGCTTTCCAACAAGGGCCTGTAATACCAAATTACTGTTTATTCATGACTAAAATGATCTGATGCTAATTAATAGTCTTTTGCTCCCTACCATTCATCGTTTGGTATCTTACATATTAGTGCTTTATTTTAATGTGAACATATGTCACCATTTGAAAAACAATTTCTTATTCAAACCTGGTTAAAAAAAAATACCAGGAGACTGTTATAGATGCCAAATATTCTTTATTCAGGGCAGTGTAACATAACTGATGATACGTGATAAAGTTAAAATTTTTTTGATGATATATATTTTATTTACAAAACATTGTACACTGCTGGTATTACCATATGAAAAGAAATAAAGTCAATTGATAATTGTCTCCCTGTTTTTATGGTCTGATACTTTATTTTCCTTTGTTCAGAATACCCAGTTGGCTTTATTTCTGATATATAGAACAGTGACACAAACGCTTTATAATTTGCAAACTCCCATAAATTTATTAGGGGAAGGGTTATAGCGTATATCAACAGGTAGAAATTTGAGAACTCTGAGGAATTTCTGTACAAAAGGAAACAAGCAGCTGGGCTGGGTGGTAAGGAATCACGGCGGAGGGATTATTAGAAAAGCAAAGGGAAATGACTCGCCAGCAAAGTTGAAGAAGTTAGTTTTAGAAGGAGGCGTATGGTTCTTCAAAGAACTCAATACTATTTTTAATTTAAGTCAAATTTGAAAAGCAGAAACCTATCTTGGAAGAGATTGCCCAATATTAGAAGTAGAGTGAATATCACTAGAGAAGAACGGATGTTTTCAGTCAGAGTTAATCATCTCTAACTTAATAAACCAGCAGGAAATCTGTATGAATACAACACACCTCGTTGGCAAACAGGGACACCTAACATGTTTGTTTAGCTGTGTGTATATATGCTCAGCTACACCACTCTTTTCGTCAATGTTGAGTCGGTAAACTGGGACCGCATTAATAGACGTGACTTCGTGGTAAAAACTTTTACTCTGAAGAAGTCCTTCTGAATGAGCTTCACATGTTTGATCTCTGGAAGCAGTATTGATTGGGTGCAGACAAAATGGGGCAAAACTCATCGCAACAGTTGCCTCTGAAGGACAGCAAAGAGGTTTCCAGCGTCTGTGAGGTCGTCAGCGAGGCTATAGTCCATGCAGCTCAGAAAGTGAAGGAGTATCTTGGATTTGAAGATCCTCTGAGCAATCTGTGCCCGGCTTCCAACACTCTGAATGAGATCTTCTTAATCCACTTTGTCTCTTTCTGCCAAGACAAGGGAGTGGACGAGTGGCTCACCACCACCAAGATGACCAAGCACCAAGCTGTACTGTTTGGGGCAGACTGGATTTGGACCTTCTGGGGATCCGAGAAACAGATCAGGCTTCAGCTGGCGGTGCAAACTCTGCAAATGTCTTCTCTCCCTCCTATGGAATCTAAGCCCTGTGACTTCTCACCTCCGGAATCCAGGGCAGAGGAGCCCTCCAGGAAAAGTAGATTTGATAAGCTGGAAGAATTCTGTAAGTTGATAGGAGAGGATTGTCTGGGCCTGTTTATCATCTTTGGGGTGCCGGGTAAGCCCAAAGACATCAGAGGAGTTGCCCTGGACAGTGTCAAAGGTGAGACCGTGCGGGGCCAGCTGCCAGGACGGAAGGCCGTGGCACAGTTTGTCCTGGAAACTGAAGATTGTGTCTCCATCAGAGAGCTGCTTGGAAACTGTCTGAGTAAGACAGACGGGCTGAGAGAGGTGGGCAAGGTTTATATTAGCATCCTCTGAACTGGATGTGCCCAGTGAGACTGGCCTGTAAGGCAAAAAGGAAGAATATTTTATTTTAGTCGGCAAGCTCATCCACTTGCATCATCCCAGTGTGGGATTTTTTTTTTTCCTATCCACCCTCCATTGAGAGAAAATGATCACTTGGGTCAAAACATATAATGTCATGACAACAGGAAAAAACCCAGCCCATATTGCAGGGAAAATTTATTCAATAATAAAAATGGGAGGAGAGGATAATAAAGTCAGCCTTGAAGTTTGATTTGCTAAAAAAAAAAAAAAATGCGTCTTTGTTTAATAAGTCTAGAACCCGGAAGTGTAAAATATTTTACTGCTGTGGGTGGACGGCAGGCGGGGTAAGGAGGTACGTGAGACTACAGAACAGGTTTAATTCCATTGACAATGCCAGTTTCAATTCAACTCAAGCAAAACCTCATTCCTCCCTCTTCCTCTAAGCTCTGCCCTTGCTCCCACCTCCTCCCCGGCCACTTTCTCTGTGCACAGAGACTCTTGGTAGGATTCACTTTGGGACTTGCTGGAGTGTCTGCTTCCCCTATGCTTTAAACACAGTGGCCCCTATAGCAAACCCTTGTAATGATGATTAACATTTGTTTAGCAATTGCAGTAAGTAAAAGGTATTCACTTATAAAAACCATCTTTGCTTAAAAGCCTGGCTGGAATTATAATAGTGCTATAAGGGAGGAAAACTAATAGAAGCAAAAAGTGCTTACGAATGTAAATGAAAGATTCATTCACATGATTGGTAAAGGCTTATTTTGTTAGGCCCTGTCCTGCACCCTCCCAATCCAGCAGTAAAAAGAACAAAGTCCCTACTCTTGGCCAGTTTCTCTTTTAATGGTGGAAGATTGACAATAAACAAATATATGAATATATATTTAAAATGCATCTTAAAAAATATGTCAGGTGTTATGTGAAAATAAAGCACGGATGAAGGGATAGAGGGTGAAGGAGGTGCTACTTTATTTGGGGTGGGTAAAGAAGACCTCTGAGAATCAGGGTATAATTGACCAGAGATCTGAATGAAAAGGGAGAGCATTAGTACAGATAAATCTGGGAAAGAATGATCTAGGCTTAGAGAGCTACAAAGACAAAAAGGGGCCTGAAATGATGTGTGTGAAGTATAGCAGAGGAGGCTGGTGTGAACGGAGTTGAGTGAGCCACGCGGAGAGTGATAGGAGCCGAGATCATAGAAGTAGCCAGCAAATAAAATAAGCAGATCATACTTGTGAGGACTCGATTTTATTGTGAGTGATAAAGGGACTGATATGCCTTGATCAGACTTAGAGTTAACCTCACTTGAATGGTGGGTGGCCACTAGGTTGTAGGGAGGAAGGAGTGAAATCAGAGCCCATGGGAGCAGCTGGGAAGCTATTATAAGAGAGAAAAGGGTGGCCTGGATCAAAGTGGTACAGGAGGAGGGGTGAACAGGTCAGATCTAGGAAGAGTTGAAGGTAAAGCAAACGGCACTTGCTGATGATTAGATGAAGGGTAGGAGATATATCACAGAATGCTGTATTTCCGAACGTCTTTTATTAAGGATGCAAGGGAAGAAATAAAGGCACACACTTTGAATGTGCCTGGAAGGTACCCAAACACCCAATTAATGTTTCCTTGGCCAATAGGGACCCCTATCTGTAGCAATGCTGTGTAGAGGAAGCTATCAAGAAGGTGGTTAGTAAAAATAACATTCAGCTTAAAATCAGATGTGGGTTTGGGTTGAATTATCTTTTTTTTTTTTTTAGATTTTATTTATTTATTTATTTGAGAGAGAGAATGAGAGAGAGAGAGCACATGAGAGGGGGGAGGGTCAGAGGGAGAAGCAGACTCCCTGCCGAGCAGGGAGCCCGATGCGGGACTCGATCCAGGGACTCCAGGATCATGACCCGAGCTGAAGGCAGTCACTTAACCAACTGAGCCACCCAGGCGTCCTGGGTTGAATTATCTTAAGAGCAGAGTCTGGTGACTTAACTCTTCGTCTTTTTACCTGTAAATGGGAATGAGTTCGACTAATACGAAGGAGACAATGCTTGTGATAACACTTTACATGCTAAATTGTAAGCTAAGGAAAATTGTGAAGACTCTAGTACAAATTGTAAATATTCATGTTCTAAACAGCTGGAAGATATAAATCAAAGACTTACCATGTCTTTTTTTTTTTATGAAAATAAAAATGTGAAGCTTTTGCTGATTTAAAAAATACTATATTTTTAAAAATCTGCATTCTGCTGTAAAAAAATATGGAAGTATAGAAAGTTAAGCCTTCAGGAGTCTCAGCTCCTCTCTCCATACCCATCCTCTCCAGTTTGCTGTTTGCCTTACAGAATGTGTACTGCATATTAGGAATATTTTACACAAATGGAATCCTATGATCCACAACCTGCATTTTTTTTAGAACAACTATATGTTGTAGACAATATTCCATGCTAATAGATTTATATCCTCTTTAAGGCTGACATCAATGGTTCTCAGTCCTGCCTACAGATTAGATTCACTTGGGGAACTTAAAAGCAAAAAGCAAAAACAAAAACTCAATACATTTCAGAGTGAAGGCCAGGACCATTTTTCTTAAATCTCTTGAGGTAGTAATTCTAACCTGCAACCAGGATTAGGTTTCCATGTGTCCAAGTAGTACTCTATGTCTTATGTACACATCATAGTATATTTAAGCCATACTGTTTTGATGGATATTTAGATTGCAAGGTCCATTCACATACCTGGATATTGTCTGTTTGCCATGCCTGTAAGTAGACAAACTGTTCACTCACATTTTTTTTTTCTTTTTCTTCACTCACTTTTTATAAAGAAGTTAGTTTTGTCTAAAAGTAGCTCTCTGACAGAAAGTCACTGCACTAATCTGGGTTTTAGATATAATAAAAACCCGTTATAAAAACCCTTAATATTTAGAATTGTTCCACACAGCACTGGCTACATAATTTGTTGGGCCATAATTTGGTCATGAAAGCTGAAGAAAAGCTTTTTTTTTTTAAGCTTTATTTTATTTTTTTTATTAACATATAATGTATTATTTGTTTCGGGGGTACAGGTCTGTGATTCATCAGTCTTACACAATTCACTGCGCTCACCATAGCACATACCCTCCCCAATGTCCATCACCCAGCCACCCCATCCCTCCCACTCCCCACCACTCCAGCACCCTCAGTTTGTTTCCTGAGATTAAGAATTCCTCATATCAGTGAGGTCATATGATACATGTCTTTCTCTGATTGACTTATTTCGCTTAGCATAATACCCTCTAGTTCCATCCATGTCGTTGCAAATGGCAAGATTTCATTTTTTGATGGCTGCATAATATTCCATTGTATATATATACCACATTGAAGAAAAGATTTTTATAAGTGAGCAACTACACTTTTAAGAACTTTTCCAATTGAAAAATCTTGTAATTCTTAGTGACTTAGGTACATGCTTTACTGTTTACACTGCATGAAACATATTATTGCCTGCTGACAGCTTTACAAATGAGTTAACTTTTAATATAGAATGAACCTTATTGTTCTTGATGCCTGGGAAAACAATAAGTATTTCTCTAGTTCCTCTGGTCATATCCGTCCACTGATGTCTTAGGGAGACAAAAAGACAACACAGGAAGGCAAGGTGAGGACCTAAGTCTGAACTTCTTGCTCAGAAATTGAGAAATCTCTGAATATAAACTAATTCCATAAGGATTTGTACTTTTTGTCCCTAAATTTGTATGGTATAGGTCTTGTACTTCATCGTACTAAAATATACAAACTGGAGAGAGCAAAAATCACTCTGTATTGACCATGAGCTTAATTCCAATGGCCACCATTTATATTCTTCCTTCTGCAACATAACTACTTAATCACAACAGCCCTGAGGAAGATATTATTGTTCCCATTTTCCATGAAACTGAAGCTCAGAGATGTTAGGTGGATTTTCCCCAGAACACAAAGAAACAGAGCCTGGATTCAAACCCCACATCCATCTGACTAAAAGGCTGTGCTTTTAATCTTAAAAATAGAGGTGAGGGTAGAACACCGTGTGAAGACAGAAGCAGAGACTGGAGTCACGTGTTACAAGCTAATGATTGTCGGCAGACCATCAGAAGTGAGGAGGCAGGGAGACATAAACAGACTGTCTCTCAGAACTTCCAGAAGGAACTGTTAAACTTAAAACCGTTAGTTATTTTACCAGCAAAAATGGGTTTACTAGGGATTAGCAGAGAATTGCAGTTCAGGACAAAGCATTGGCAAGTCTAGAGAACAAAGGAGAAGACTGCTTTATTACAGAGAAAAGAAGGGAGTTGGGAGGGACTGTTACCAATGAAAAATGCATGGGAGTAAACTGGGAGTTTACTGGGAGTAAACTGGGAGTAAACTGGGTGCCTTTTCATTGGCTGAATCGTGACAGTCTCTTATTGGCTGGGCTGTTGCTGGGGTAGGAGAACAACTTCCTTCTCCTGCAGGGCTTAGTACAGCGGTATCCACTTGCAAGACTTGCTAGGTACTCTCTGTTCCTTTGGGGTCTGTACTTGCTGGCTAGTGGTAGGATGTGAGAGCTCCCCCATCTGGCTTCTAGACTTCATTTTAAATGATATTTCCTTTTATTAATTTTCACAGAACCAACCCTGCTAAAACCTGGATTTTGGGTTTTTAGCATCTAGAACTGGTGGGAGAATAAATGTCTGTTATTTTATGTCACTCAATTTGTGGTACTTTGTTATAGCAGTCCTAGGAAACTAGTACACCTAACACACTGTACTGCTTTGGAACAATTATGGGATGGTAAAAGGCCAGAAAAGATGAGAATGGTGATTATCACAAATACTTGTCCCTATCTGCCAGTTATCTTCTCCTCTCCTCCCCCCCCCCCCCCCCCCCCCCCCCCCCCCCCCGCCAATACTGATTGATGTCCATAGCACACTGAATGCTTGCATACACACTACTCTGGGACATCGGCATCCCCCTGCTCTACTTGGTATGCTTACCAAGAGTCAGTCGTGTTTGTTCCCAGTTATTCTTGTTACCACAATTTTGTACTTTGGTTAAATATGATAGTACCTATTAAAAAAATAGAGGATAACTTTATTAATGGTTGTACGTTAATTCATCCCAGTGTAGAGGTTGTCAAAATAGGTTCCAATCCAAGATGCCTTGAGGTAGGAAGACCTTGAACTCACCTCCTCCACAGACACAAATATCTACACCTTTTTATAGAAATAGAGTAGGGTAGAAAAGAAGAGATCTCATTTAAAGAATGGCCATTATTTTCGAGGTCCTGACGAGTTCTAACTTTTTGTAACTCTAACCTGATCTACAAAGGCATTAATGACCTTTGGAGCCTATGCACGCAGGGTGCTCACTGCATGCTAATAGTACACCCAGAGCTTTGTCTGTATTTACTTGATTAGTCAACCCAGGCAAGAAAAAATGAAGTCAAGTTTTAAACACGAGTAGTTTGGCTAGAACTACTCTCAGATACTGTCTCGCCCTTAGAGTGTATCACTTGCACCAGCTCAAGACTTCTTTAAACCGACAAAGTGTGGAAAAGCAGCAGTTGCACAGGAGGAGGGCCCTGAGGTAAACTGCCAGACTCCCGGGTCATCTGAAATCCCACCCGGATCACATTTGCCCTCTGTAAGCCACATTTCCCCCATCCCTTATGGTCCTCGTTGAACTCACTGCTTCGATTTTTTTTTTTAACCTTTTTGTTTTCTTTTCATTCGTTTTTTCTATTTTGGGGTTACCTTCTTGCACGTTTGACTCGGCGCTGACTTTGCAGGCGCACCTGTCTCCTGTTTCTCCACCCTAGGGGCGGGGCAAGGCGGGGCGAACGTGCGCGGTAGCGGCCTCAGCCCCGCCCCTGACTCCCGACTGCGCATGTCCCATCCGCCTTGCCGTCTTCGCAGCCATGGCGGCTGCCGCGCTCCCCGCGTGGCCGGCCCTGCAGCCGGGGGCCGGGAGCCTGCGTGCCTTCTGTACGTCCGTGTCTCTGGCCACGCGCTCTGCGATACCAAGCCCGCGTGAGTGTGTGTCGCGTCGCCTCCGGGCTTTGGGGGAGGTGAGGGCGGAATACCGAATCCATGATGGCCGCCGCGCTGGCGGAGTCCGCACCGCCTGGGGGAAGCTGGGACGTCCTCTGCCAGCCTGTCGCTGGCCCTCCCAGTAGAAAAGCCGCAGGTGTGGGTCTCTTCTCTGCGCCCGTGTCACCGGCTTTCTAGTCGCCGACTTCTGCTTCCGGGTGCTCTGGGCGCGGTGAGCTTGCTCCGCCCACCCCCTTAGAGCGACCCGCGCTCTCTGGTGCTCCCTTGCGCGGCCACTGGCACAGGGTCACTCTAGTTACTGGTGCCCGGTCGTGTTTGTTGGGCAGTGTTAAACCATGGGTCTTCTCGAACGTTAAGAGAAGCATACAGCTGTCCTGGGACAAACTGCCGCTTTGAATTCCAGCCCTAACTATGCCACCAAATGGGATGACCTTCATTCAACAGGCATTATTGAGATGACCTTCATTCAAGATACTGTTCTTGCCTTGGAAGAGTCTATGGACAAGGCAGATTTGTTAACGCAGTCACACTGTATGCAGTGTGAGGTGCTGTAAGGGAAGCGTGAATAGAGTAACACGGGGGCACTGACGAAGAGCCCACGGGAGTCAGGGAAAGCCGTGTCAAAGAGGGGGCGTGTCCAGTCATTCACCAGGTGCTATCCACGCTACCTTCTGTCACATCTCTAATCTTCGTATTAGCAACAGATGAGTCTAGGCCACCGTCTCTCACTTCTGCAGTAGTTTCTTTACGGGTCCCTATTTCTGCTCTTGCTCTCCTGCCTTGAATTCTCACAACCAGACTGAAGTATTCAAAAAGCGAATCTTACCTTGCCACTCCCTTGTTCAAAATCTTCGAATGATTTCTCATTGCTTTAAGATAGGATAAATTCCTAAATTCCTTAATTTGTCAGAGTGGCCCTTTATAGTCTTAATGCTTGTATCTTGTAAGTTTTTTATTCATTTTGTAAATACTTAACTCCTACTGTGTGCTGGGTAGTGTTCTAGATACTGGGATATGGCAAGGTCTCTCACCTCCTGAAGTTTACAATCTTTTGGGAAGGTCAGACAAAACAATGTCAGTACAGTGTCAGGTGGTGATTAGTGCTTCGAAGAAAAATAAAGCAGGTATTGAGAATGATGGATTGGAGGGGTACTGGCTACAGAGTAGGAAAAGATTGGGTAGACAGGAAAGCCCTCCTTGGGGAAGTGACATTTGAGCAGAGCCCATGGTATATACCATGCCAAGATCGGCGGGGGGAAGGGCATTGTTGGCATAGGGATCTGCAAGTACAAAGGCCCAGAAGTGAGAACAAGCTTAGGGAGGTGATCAAGGAACAGAAACAAAGTCGACTTGGAGGTAAGTGAACATAGGTGATGGTAGTCTAAGGTGTTGGAAATATAAGTAATGATCAGATCTCACAATGGCTTTTAGGCATTTGGCTTGGATTTTATTATAAGTTTGGGATTATACTGGAAGGTTTTGAACATGGAAGTGATATAATGTGATTTATACTTCTTTAAAAATTATTTATTTATTATTTAGCTTGGGCTGGAGCAGAGGGAAAGGAACAAGCCGACTGTGCTGAGTGTGGAGCCTGACACAGGGATTGATCCCATGACCCTGAGATCATGACCTAAGCCGAAATCAAGAGTCAGATGCTTAACCGACTGAGCCACGCAGGCGCCCCTGATTTATACTTTTAAAAGTTCACTGACCACTGGGGCACCTGGGTGGCTCATTCGGGTAAGCATCTGCCTTCTTAGGCTCGGGTCATTATCCTGGGGTCCTGGGATTGAGCCCCCATCGGGCTCCACATTGGGCTCCCTGCTCTGTGGGGAGCCTGCTTCTCCCTCTGCCCGCTGCTCTCCCTGCTTGTGCTCTCTCTGTCTGTCAAATAAATAAATAAAATATTTAAAAAAAAGTCACTGACTACTGTGTGGAGAACCAACTTTAGTGGGGTAAGAGTGGAATCCAGGAGATCAGTTTGGAATCTTTTGCAGTAGTCCAAATGAAATGATGGTGAGTTGGATTGAGGTAATAGCAGAGAAGGTGGCGTGGTTGGATATGGGATATATTTTAAAGGTATAGCTGGGAGGACTTACTGATGGATTTGATATGGGGCATGAGGAAAAGTCTCCGGAAGCAGGTTAGATTCTTATCCGGAGTAATCGGATAAATAGCAGTATCATTTACAGGGATCAGGAAGACTGGAAGAAGAATATCAAGAGCTCTGTCAATGATGTTTTATAGTTGAGGTGCTTATTAAATATTTGCAACCTCTTTTCTCAGTGTTCTTTCTGTTCTAATCTTAAATTTCAGCCATATTGAACTGTTCCCATTGATTTTTCCATCTCCTTTTCTCTGTAGAAACTTTCTCACTTGCCTGTTCCCAGGGCTACCTCTTGCTTATCGTTAAGGTTTAGGCTTAACATCCAGTTCTTCAAGGAGATTTTCTCCAACTAATGACTAAGTTTGGTCCCCCGCTATATGTTGCCATTAATATTACGACTATTTATTGAAATTATTTGTTAAATAGTTATCTTATTTGACAGACTACATTCTGTGAAAGCAAGGTCTGTGTTTCTCTTACTCATTGCTGCCTTCTCTGTTTCTGGTACACAATATCACTCAAATGATTTTTGAGTGAATAAATGAATTACTATCAAGGGATGAATAAGAATTTGTCAGATAAAGAAATGAGATGGGGAGGCAGAAGGGGACAGAAGCCAGACAGATAGAAGGGATGCACATTCCAGCAGAGAGAACAGTAAGTTTGGAGACAGTCCAAAGGCTCTGGTACTGGAAGTTTAACTATGAAGGGAGATGAAGCTAGAGATAAAAGTGGTTCAGAGTGTGAAGAGTCCTATATGCAATGCTATTGTCGCCCTGACTCTTTGATTCTTAGTTTTCTTGGCTCTAAATGACCTCTAAGGATAATAATAGTACTTACAGTTACTGTGAACAATAAGATTGAGATAATGAAAAGCACATAGCACAGTGTCTGGCTATTGTTACTGTAATGTAGCAAAACAGGCATAAGGTAATATTTTGAAAGGTATATACTGTATGTAAATAATTTACTCTCTCTCTTTTTTTTTTAAGATTTTATTTATTTATTTGACAGAGAGAGAGACAGCGAGAGAGGGAACACAAGCAGAGGGAGTGGGAGAGGGAGAAGCAGCTTCCTGCCAAGCGGGGAGCCTAATGCAGGGCTTGATCCCAGGACCCTGGGATCATGACCTATGCCAAAGACAGACACTTAACGACTGAGCCATCCAGGCCCCCCTAATTTACTCTCTTATATGGTTGTATGATTTATTAGGAATGGCTATGATTTGTGTTGTTACTGGCATTATTGTAGCATTGGCAGTTCTAATATGCAATACAGAAGGAGAAACAAGGGTTTGTTTTGGTGGAACCAAATAATTCCAAATACGAGAAGTGTATTTATAGTTAAAACATTTCAAATCAGCTATCTTTTTTTTTTTTTTAATTTTTTTTTTTTTTTAAAGATTTTATTTATTTATTCATGAGAGACAGAGAGAGAGAGAGAGAGAGGCAGAGGGAGAAGCAGGCTCCCAAGGAGCAGGGAGCCCGATGTGGGACTCGATCCCAGGACCCTGGGATCATGACCTGAGCCGAAGGCAGACGCTTAACCATCTGAGCCACCCAGGCGCCCTCAAATCAGCTATCTTTAAAGATGTAAAATACTTATTTCTAACTAGATATTTTAATTTGGGAAAGTGAGTTTGACTATGAACCTTAAAATTTATTGAAAATATTTCTTTAGATGATGAATTCACTATATCATCAATCACAATGCACTTTACATTTATTTTTTTTATTTTTAAGATTTTACTCATTTGCTAGAGAGAGAGAGCATGGGCGAGAGAGAGTGAGCGAGAGCACAAGCAGGGGGAGCTGCAGGCAGAGGGAGAAGCAGGCTCCCCTGCTGAGCATGGAGCCCGATGTGGGGCTAGATCCCAGGACCCCGAGATCATGACCTGAGCCGAAGGCAGACGCTTAACCGACTGAGCCACCCAGGTGTCTCTGCACTTTACATTTAAATAACTCTGGACTTTTAACTATTTCTGACTTTTCATTAAGATGATTTAGTCCCAGAGCTTACAGAAAATGGATTATTGTTTCATTTTTGTATTACTGAATACCTGAAATAATCTGAGAGTTATGGGATCATGATCAGTGTTGAACAACTGTACATTATTCAGCTCTCTATAACTACTGTGTTGTCTTTTAGGTACAGCAGACAGAACATCCAGATATGAAAGACCACTGAGAAGAAAGGTAAACAATTAATGTAGTCTATACTATCTTAATGATTTCTGAAGTTCTAAAGTGAGGCATATATTCATGATCAGGCAGAAGAGTGCTGCCCAAGAAAGCTTCACAAGGGGATGTGTACTTGGTGACTGCCAGAGCCTTGGCTCTAGTCTTTGACTGGTTTTTGCAGTACCCCAAAAAATGGATCATCTTTAAGAGATGGACTCACTCACACACGCCTGGGAAATAAGTGTATATTAAACTAGAATATAGAATTTTTTTTTTTTTAAGATTTTATTTATTTATTTGACGGAGACATAGTGAGAGAGGGAACACAAGCAGGGGAAATGGGAGAGGGAGAAGCAGGCTTCCCACTAAGCAGGGAGCCCGGTGTGGAGCTCAATCCCAGGACCCTGGGATCATCACCTGAGCCGAAGGCAGACGCTCAATGACTGAGCCACCCAGGTGCCCCTAGAATTATTTTTGATGATGCTTTTAATAATCATGAAGCCTGGGATGTGTGTATTAATCTCACTAGTTTGGTCTCACCCTGTAGGCAAGTCAGTGGAAGAATCCAAATCCTAAGGTCACTTGTTGAGGATGGAGTCAGAACAGAGACAAATTATTAGATGGAAGTTAAATGGTACCAAATTGTAATTATCTAGAGTAGTTGTTTTCATAGGAATATTACCTTCTTCCAGGGCGTACAGTACACTGGTTTTGATATTGCATTGTTGGTCATTGCCAGATTTTGCTTCTTTAAACCCTACTTTTGTATTCTGGCCATCCCCTTCTAATGAATACAGTTTTTTTAAAAAAAAAAAAAATGTGTATGTTAATGTGATTGACTAAACTGTCACATAGCTGTTCTCTGGAACTAGGAGACATAATTTCTCATTATGTACGTATTCAGTTAGTTTAACTCATTTACTTATTTCCAAGTTCTTGTTATTTATTTCTTATTTCCTTTATTTCAAATTTTCAGTGTCCCCTCATGTACTGACTTCCATCAGAAAAGTTCTAAAAACTAAAGACAGTCACCAGCTTACAGTGGTTCAGCTTACAATTTTTCAACTTTATGGTGGTGAGAAAGCAGTACACATTCAGTAGAAACCGTGCTAGGAATTTTGAATTTCATCGTTTCCTGGGCTAGCATGATGCGGTGTGAAACTTGCACAGTGCCAGGCAGTGGCAGTTAGGCATAGCTGCCAGTCAGCCACGCAGTCATGAGGGTAAATACCCAAGACACTTAATAACAAACCTGGACCCATAGAACCGTTTTTTGTTTTTTTTTTTACTTTCAGTACAGTATTCAGTAAATTGTATGATATATTCAACACTTTACTATAAAATAGGCTTTGTTTTAGATGGTTTTACCCAAATGTAAGCTAATGTAAGTGTTCTGAGCACATTTAAGGCAGACTAGGCTAAGCTATGCTGTTCGGTAGGTTAGGTGTATTAAAAGCATTTTTGACTTATGGAGTTTTCAACTTACAATGGGTTTATTGGGACACTCAATCAATGTAAACACTCACTGTTCCAGTAAACCCATTGTGAGTTGAGGAAGATCTGTATTTCAGAATACGTTGTTACTTGGACATAAGCCCATCATGAGTTGAGGAAGATCTGTATTTCAAAATACATTGTTACTCTTTCACAAAATATTAAAAATTTGCTAAAAGTCTAAATCCACAGAAATTTTTAGTGAAGGAAATGTGCTGTTAAAGGGGATTCTTAACAGAGGGTTTGTAGAAACAGTGCAAAAATATTAGGTAGGTTTGGTGTTTTTTCATTTGAATAGCAACAGCTTTATAAGAGGTCAGATTTTACGTAGGTTGCAATTCTGCTTATGTTTCTTTTAATTGTAGCTCTTTTTGCTTTAAAATTAAAGATTGTGTTCATATTTAAAATACTAAACTATTTTATATTCCGTAGGCACTACCTCCTAGGACAGAGAAAATGACTGTTGACCAAGACTGGCCTAGTGTTTATCCTGTTGCAGCACCATTTAAACCCTCTGCTGTACCTCTTCCCATTCGAATGGGTTATCCAGTAAAAAGGGGGGTGCCCATGGCAAAGGAGGGAAATCTAGAACTTTTAAAGGTAAGATAAATTGCTGATTCATTGGCTAAGACTTATATCTAAATAAATGCTGATCCTCTTCCACTCCTACCCTGCCTTGTACTCAGGGTTCATTATGTAGCAGCAGCTTATTGTATTTTAGTTAAAAATTTTTTTTTCGGGTAATAATGGATGATATATTCTGATTGTCCATGGTGAAGAAGACTCAAAGAGTCCTGGGCATTTGAGAATATAATCAGTTGGTCCTATGGCTTCCCTTTTGGTTTTTCCTTTTCTATTGTATTTTTTCTGTCTTGTATCTTTCGAGTGGAACTAGGAAAAGTGAAATAACCTAATTTGAGATTGAGAATTGGGGGCTGAAATGTACTTTTTTTTAAAAAAGATCTTATTTATTTGAGAGAGAGTGAGGGAGAGGAAGCGCGCACGCAAGAGAGCACCAACGGCGGGGAGAGGCAGAGGGTACAGGGCTCGATCCCATGAACTGAGCTGAAGGCAGACGCTTAACCAACTGAGCCACCCAGCGGTCCCTGAATCTACTTTTAAAAGAAAGATTTTAAAACTTTCTATCCAGAAAAGTACAACATTATTTAATATTGTTATGGTCCTTAAACTTCTTTATTTCTTGAAGCAAAATATGTCATATTAAATGCTTCAGTTGGTAGCATCTATAATGATTTATGAACTATAAGCTTTTTTTTCCTTAAGATTTTATTTATTTATTTTTGCGAGAGAGATCGCGAGTGAGCGGGGGGGTCGGGGGGCGGGGGCTCAGGGAGGGGAGGAGCAGAGGGAGAAGCAGGCTCCTTGCTGAGCAGGGAGCCCGATGCAGGGGTCGATCCCAAGACCCAGGGATCATGACCTGAGCTGAAGGCAGACACTTAACTAACTGAGCCATCCAGGCACTGTGAACTATAAGCATTTTTAAAGAAAATACGAATATGCTTAGCCTGAGAATACGTATCTTAGATGGTTCATGTTACATACGTATATAATTGTCATAAACTGTGTTTTCCACTTTTTTTTTTATTGAAGTATAGTTGACACACAATTTTACATTAGTTTCAGGTGTACAACGTAGTGATTCCACAAGCCTGTGTGTTATGCTATGCTCACCACGAGTGTAGCTACCATCTGTCACCATACAGCACTATTACAGTATTATTGACTGTATTTTCTATGCTCTACCTTTTATCCCTATGACTTATTTATTCCATAACTGGAAGCCTGTATCTCCCACTCCCCTTTACCCATTTCTTCCATCCCTTCATGCCCCTTCCCCTCTGGCAACCATCAGTTTGTTCTCTGTATTTACCGGTCTGTTTCTGCTTTTTGTTTATTTTGTTTTTTAGATTCCACATATAAGTGAAATCATATGGTGTTTGTCCTTTTCTGACTTATTTCACTTAGCATATATATGACAGTCTTGAAAAACAGAAAAAATTTTGCTAAAAGATGATGGTAAAAAATGAGATGGTAACGTGGAGAAGGAGTTGTCTGCTGCTAGAGACGGGTAAATGAAATTTGGAAATCTGAATGTTTCAAGAGATATAAGGAAACAAACATTGAGGAAACTAATCTTTTCTTTAAATGAAAGAAGAGAACTTAGTTTAGGGGCGCCTGGGTAGCACAGTTGGTTGAGTGTCTGACTCCTCGTTTCAACTCAGATCATGATTTCAGGGTCATGAGATCAAGCCCTACATTGGGTTTGCACTCAGCATGGAGTCTGCTTGAGATTCCCTCTCTCTCTGCCCCTCCCAGTCCTTTGCGCTTATGTGCGCGCTTCTCTCTCTCAAATAAATCTTTAAAAAACAGTTTCTGGAAAAGTATGAATCCATTTATGTAAAATTGCATATGTATATCTATTTTTTAAAGAGATGTCTAGAAGGATGTTAACCAAAGTGTTAAGAGTGTAGGACCTTGAATAGTTTTTATTTCTTTTTGTATTCCAGGAAAATTAGAATGATTAAACAATAATCTCTCCTTAAGTGCTTTCAGTTTTATAAGGAAAATATGTATACCTGTAGATTTGTGGCAGGAAGAGTACTATAAAAACAGCATTTATTGGGGCGCCTGGGTGGCTCAGATTGTTGAGCGTCTGCCTTCGGCTCGGGTCATGATCCCAGGGTCCTGGGATCAAGTCCCGCATCGGGCTCTCTGCTCCTTGGGAGCCTGCTTCTCCCTCTGCCTCTCTCTCTCTCTGTCTCTCATGAATAAATAAATAAAAATCTTTAAAAAAAAAAAAACAGCATTTATTTTTCCCCACTATGGTCATCATAAGATACATCATGAATCTATATTTCAAGGAATTCATTACACATGTGACATAAATTAATATTGTAAAAACTAAATTTTATTATAAGGTTTATTGTGCTTAGGATTTAGTTTTATGAAAAAATTCTTTTTTATGTTTTTGAGACAGTAGGCTAATTTATCCTTTGAATTTCTCTATTTTAGATACCCAATTTTCTGCATTTAACTCCTGTAGCGATTAAAAAGCACTGTGAAGCTCTTAAAGGTAAGTGGTTGTTTTAGTATATGAACTTAATATTGACTAACAGAACTAAAGGGAGAAACAGATGGTAATACAACAGTAGGGGACTTCAATACACTATTTTCAACAATAGATAGATCATCCAGACAGAAAATCAGTAAGGAAACACTGGATGTAAACTATATGTTAGACTGGATGGGTTTAACAGATGTTTACAGAACATTCCATCCAAAAGAAGCAGAGTACAGATTCTTCTCAAGCACACCTGAAGCATTCTCCAGAACAGATCATATGTCAGGCCAAAAGACAAATCTTAACAAATTGTAAAATACTGAAGTCATACCAGGCACCTTTTCTGTTCACAATGGTATAAAACTAGAAATGTATTATAAGAAGAAAACTGGAAAATTCACAAATATATGGAGATTGAACATGTCCCTAAACAACCATTGGTTCAAGGAAAAATATCAAAAGGAAAGTTAAAAAAATCTTGAGACAAATATAAATGGAAGCAACATACCAAAACTTATGAGATGCAACAAAAACAGTTCTAAGAGGGAAGTTGATAGCGTACATTAAGAAAAAAGAGATCTCAAATAAACAACTCCATATACACCTCAAGGAACTAGAAAAAGAACTAAGCCCAAAGTTAGTAGAAGGAAGGAAATAACAAAGATTAGAATGGAAATACAGACTAAAAAGGCAAGAAAAAAGATGAACGAAACTAAAAGCTGGTTTTTTGAAGAGATAACAATATACACAAACCTTTAATTAGACACATCAGGAAAAAAGAGAGGACTCAAATAAAATTGTAAATAAAAGAGTAGACGTTACAGTTGATTCCTCAGAAATACAAAGGATCATAAGGGACTACTGTGAACAATTACATGCCAACTAATTTGACGACCTAGAAGAAATGGATAAATTTTTAGAAACAGACAACCGACCAAGACTGAATCATGAAGAAATAGAAAATCTGGGGCGCCTGGGTGGCTCAGTTGGTTAAGCGTCTGCCTCCCACTCAGGTCATGATCCTGGAGTCCCAGGATCGAGTCCTGCGTCAGGCTCCTTGCTCAGCATGGAGTCTGCTTCTCCCTCTGTCCCTCACCCTGCTCTCATGCTCTCTCACTCACTCACTCTCTCAAATAAACAAATAAAATCTTTAAAAAAAAGAAATAGAAAATCTGAACAGACCCATTACTAGTAAGAAGATTGAATCAGTAATCAAGAACCTCCCAACAGGGGGGCCTGGGTGGCTCAGATGGTTAAGTGTCTGCCTTCAGCTCAGGTCATGATCCCAGGGTCCTGGGATCAAGCCTTGCATCGGGCTCCCTGCTTGGCGGGGAGCCTGCTTCTCCCTCTCCCTCTACTGTTCCCCCTGCTGTGCTCTCTCACTCTCTCTGTCAAATAAATAAAATCTTTAGAAAAAATAAAGAACCTCCCCAAAACAACAAAAAAATCCAAGATCAGATGGCTTAACCTGCAAATTCTAATCATTTAAAGAGATAGTACCAGGGCGCCTGGGTGGCTCAGTTGGTTAAGCAACTGCCTTCGGCTCACGTCATGATCCTGGAGTCCCTGGATCGAGTCCCGCATCGGGCTCCCTGCTCGGCAGGGAGCCTGCTTCTGCCTCTGACCCTCCCCCCTCTCATGTGCTCTCTCTCTCTCATTCTCTCTGTCTCAAATAAATAAATAAAAATCTTAAAAAAAAAATAAATAAATAAAAATAAAAAAATAAAGAGATAGTACCAGTATTTCTCAAATTCTTCCAAAAAAGGGGTGCCAGCGTGGCTCAGTCGGTTAAGCGTCTGCCTTTCACTCGTCGGGATCCCGGGGTCCTGGGATCGAGCCCTTCATTGGGCTCCCTGCTCAGTGTGGAGTCTGCTTATTCCTCTCCCTCTGTTTCCCCCCACACACACACTCATGCTCTCTCCCTCTCTCTCTCAAATCAATAAATAAAATCTTGTTTAAAGAAAAATTCTTCCAAAAAAGAAGAGGAGGGAACACTTCCAAACTCATTTTAGGAAGCCAGCATTTACCCTGATGACCAAAACCAGACAAGGATACTATAAGAAGTATTACAGGCCAAATTCCTTCATTAACACTGATACAAAAATCCTCAACAAAATATTACTAAACCAAATTCAACAGTACATTAAAAAGATCATGTCAGATCAAGTGGGATTTATTTCAGGGATGCAAGGATGGTCCAACATAAAAATCAGTCAGTGTGATATATCACATTAACAGAACAAAATTAGAAGAAAACATAGGCAGTAAGCTCCTTGACATGGGTCTTGGCAGTGATTTTTGGATTTGATACCAATAGCAAAGGCAACAAAAGCAAAAATAAACAGGTGGGACTACATCAAACTATAAAGCTACTGCACAGCAAAGAAAACCATTGACAAAAGGAAAGGGCAACCTACAGAATGGGAGAAAATATTTGCAAACCTCGGGTCAGAGGTTAATATCCAAAATATAAAAAGAATTCATGCAACTCAATAGCAAAAAATCCCAGACAATCCAATTAAAAAATAAGCAGAGGATTGGAAGAATTAATATTGTTAAAATGTTCATACTATCCAAATCAAACTACAGATTGAATATAATCCGGATCAAAATAGCAACAGCATTTTTCACAGAACTAGAAGGAAGAATCCTAAAATTTGTATGGAACCACAAAAGTTCCTGAATAGCCAAACCAATCTTGAGAAAGACCAAAGCTGAAGGTATCACAGTCTCAGATTTCAAGATATACGACAAGCTATAGTAATCAAAACAATATGATATCAGCACAAAAATAGACACCTAAGTTAATGGAACAAGATAGAGAGCCCAGAAATAAGCCCACACTTAAATAGTCAATTCATGTATGACAAAGGAGGCAAGAATATGCAATGAGGAAAGGACAGTCTCTTTGATAAATGGTGCTGGGAAAATGGGACAGCTATATGCAAAAGAATGAAACTGGACCACTTTCTTATGCCACACAAAAATAAACTCAGAATGCATTAAAGTATACATAAAACATAAATGTGGACCTGAAATCATAAAACTGCTTAAAACATAGGCAGTTATTTCTTTGACATTGGTCATAGGAATATTTTTCTTGATATGTCTCCTTGGGAAGGGAAACAAAAGCAAAAATAAACTTGAGACCACCAAAATAAAAATTTTTTGCACAATGAAGGAAACCATCAACAAAATGAAAAGGCAACCTACTGAATGGGAGAAGGTATTTGCAAATGATATATCTAATAAGGGGTATATAAAATACATAAAGAACTTACACAACTCAACACCAAAATAACCCAAATAATTTGATTTAAAAATGGGCAGAGGACCTGAATAGACATCTTTCCAAGGAAGACGTAGATCGTCAATGGACACATGAAAAGATGGATCAACATCACTGATCATGGAAAGATTAGTGCAAATCAAAACCACAGGAGCTATTACCTCTCACCTGCTAGAAATGGCTATCATCAAGAAGGCAAGAGATACCAAGTGTTGGTGAAGATGTGGAGAAAAGGGAATCCCTTTTGTACTGTTGGCTAGAGATGTAAATTGGTATAGCCGCTATGGGATATATATATATTCAAAAGAGGGGCGCCTGGGTGGCCCAATTGGTTAAGCGACTGCTTTCGGCTCAGGTCATGATCCTGGAGTCCCCTGCTCAGCAGGGAGTTTACTTCTCCCTCTGACCCTCCCCCCTCTCATGTGCTCTCTCTCTCTCATTCTCGCTCTCTCAAATGAATAAATAAATAAATTCTTTAAGAAAAAAAAAAATGAAAACAAGGTATTGAAGAGATATCTGTACTCCTATGTTCACTGCAGCATTATTTACTACAGCCAAGAAATGGAAACAACCTAAGTTGGTGATTGGATAAAGAAGTGGTGTGTGTGTTTAATATTATTTAGTTATGAGAAGGAAGGACATCCTGCCATTTGTGACAACATAGATGGGCCTTCAGGGCGTTATGCTAAATGAAATAAGACAAAGACAATTAGGTTATGATTTCACTTACATGTGAAATCTAAAAAAGCTGAACTCAGAATAGTAGGGACTGAGAGGTGAGGGGGAAGGGAGATGTTGGTCAAAGAATGCAAACTTCCAGTTTTATGATAAGTTCTGGGGATCTAGCCTACAGAATAGTGATTATAGTTATTAATACTGTGTTATATAACTGAAAGTTGCTAAGAGAATAGATCTTTAATATTCTTACCACAGAAAGAAAGGGTAATTACATGACACTGGTGTTAGCTAGTGTTATGATTGTAATCATTTTGCAATATACATAAGTGCATCTAATCAACATATTGTATACATTAAACTTACACAATGTTTTATGTCAAGTATCTCAATAAAGATGGAGGAACAAAACCTCATTTTTAATATATTAAATCGCCTTATATTCTGAGTCATTGCTAGTTTCTCCTTTTTTTAGAAAAATTTTCAAGTTTTCAGTGAATTGTTAAGATGTCAAATCTGCAAGTTTTTTTTTTTGTTGTTGTTGTTTTTTTTCAGACTACAAGTGGCTATGAATAAAAATAGAACCAGAAATCATAGTCCTTGTTCAGGTAGGTTAGGGACTTCATTGTTACATTATAGATAGCACATACATAAAAAGACTGAAGAAAATATTGTAGAGTATTGCCAGTAGATACAAATCAATATAATCCAAACGAGATAATGTAGAAAGATGCTGAGTAGAATAGTCAGTGGAGTCAGTAATGGGATACTTTGCAGAGAGTTTTCTTGAAATTGTTTAAAATAAGAACTTCATAGTGATACATAGATGTGGTAACATCAAGTAGCAGAAGGCTGATGATGAAGAGCAATAATCTTATATTTCTCCTTTCCCACCTGGCCCCTCATTTTAGAAGTGTTCTCTTTTAATCATTGTTTAGGTCTGATAATTACTTGCTGAGAGTGTATTTGCTTATTTTTCCATATAGTCTCTTTCTATATAATATTTATATTCTTTCTCTATATTTTATATATGTTTAGTTATATTAGTATATATATTTTTTCGTATACATGTATAAGATGGGAGTAATCACCAGACCACGATTATATCTCCAGTTCTAAATTTATTGAGTTTGAACAATATTTATTGATTCCTAGATATAAACAGATTTTACTCACTTATTCCCTTCTTTTTAAGATTTATTTATTTGAGAGAGAGAGAGAGAGATCAGAGGGGAGGGAGAAAGGGAGAGGGAAAGAGAAACTCAAGCAGACTGCGCTGAGTGCAAAGCCTCACAGGGGGCTCGGGATCTCATGACCCTGAGATCATGACCTGAGCCAAAAACCCAAGAGTCGGATGCTTAACTGACTGCCACCCAGACACCCCTGACTCACTTATTCTTTCTCCTTCCCACATGCACAGAGGTAAAGGCAAAGAACTTTTTTTTTCATAGTTTTATGAGTGTTTTCATACATATACATATTCTGACTCAATTTCTGATCTAATTTGCATTGGACTACATACAGAAGAAGGACATTGGAATTGTTTTAGGTTCACAGCTGTTAGTGATTGGTTGTGTAGTTTAATTCAAGAGTTAGTACCTTTGGATGAATTCTTAAATTCATGCTAATTAAGAAGGAGATGTATAAATGCTCAGTACACTTGTTAAGGCTTTTCAGGAAAGAAAATGAAATCTAAAAACTCTTGACAGGCAGCCTGATATTGCTAGAAGGAGAAATAGTATAGTGATCATGATTATGATGAAATTTGAGCTTTTGGAAGGGCCTTTTATTGAAAAACATAAGGAAGAGATAAAGAAGTCCTAAAAAGTAGGAAGAATGACCTTACTCTTGAAATGAGGGAAGAACAATCTTTCCTATCTCCTTTCATGTATGTGGCCTTCTTTTTGGGTTAGTAGGATGCATTTCTGTCCTTTTAGATTGTATGTTTCTATTTTCACAGGTGTCTGGTGATAGACTGACGCTGATCATTATTCCAAATTTGTACCCTGTTTGGCACAAACCATGTGTCACTTTTTGATCCTTTGTGAAGCCAGTTACGGAATGTATTACACTGTGATAAATCTCATTTTTTTCCTTTTTAAGCATTATTTTTAAGTGTGCATTTATAATGTAGAAACTGGGTTTTTTAATGAGGTATTTCTAAAATACTTCATAATTCTTAAATGAAAGGCTTTCATATAGCACATTCAGAAGAGTAGCATTATAATTTAAGTATTTAAGTAAGTGCTTTAATCTTTCTTTAATTTTGTCTTTACACTTTTGCCAGCCTCTAGATTTAGATTGTATCTTCCAAATAACTCAAAGGCTTTTAAAACTATTTCTTCTCAATTTTCTTTCAAAGTAGGTCAGTTCAGATTTTATATCTAACTTGCAAGTGGAAAATCTGAAGCACAGGAAAGTTAGGTAATTTACCCAAACTTTAATAATCAGTGGTAGAAGTTAAGTAAAAACCAAGGTCCTCCGAAGTCTAGTCTGTTGCTCTACCTATCAGATGAATAGGGGTCTATTATGTACTTTCCAGTTGGCTGTATTTTTTAGACATATAATCCGGTAATTTAAAAGTTGTAATTATCATCTGGTTATTGAAATGACTTCCTCAAAGTTATAAAACATAAAAGACTCAGTACAAACCCAAGAACTCATAAAATTCTCCAGACTCGTCTCTCTTATAAAGTGCTTGGCAGTGTTGCATCTTATAGTGCAGGATATTGGAATTATTCCATGATGGGAATAAAATTTAACTTCAGTAATCATGCCCTTTTCATTTTATTTAAATGTCAGAATGTTCTTAATTGCAGAGATACTTCTTTCCCCTCAAAGTGTGTGAGTATTGCTCTCTTAAGCAGTGTGTTTAGGGAATGGTGTGAGCTATACTTAATTTGCTAACATATATTTAGTTGTAGATCTTGGAGAGTCTCTGTAACCCAGAATGACATTTTGCTGACTGATATTAAAGCCTAAAAGAGAGCTAAATATAGTACCTACTGTAAGAAAATTGTTACCTCTAGGAAGTGTTACTGACAAAGTACCTTTCACTGCCCCTTACATCATCACGTGGAAGAGTTCCCGCATGTGCCTGTGACCAGCCTCTCCTGCAGTCGTGCTTTTTGGAGAAAGCACAGACCCCATGAGGTTTAATGTGTTTGACCTAAGAAACCAATTACTTTTAGGTATTCTTAGAATGAGGTTTTTAAGGATGAAATTTCCATGGTGGGGCCATGATAGTGCCAGAAGTTTTCATTTCAAGCTGAGAGCCCTCTCTACCACACTAACTTTATAGGAACAGGGCAGAAGGAAATCAGCTACCTTCTTATGTAGTCCCTCAATACAGATAGCTGTAGGACATGCTGGGAGCTCTTTTCCTTTTAAGTCCCATCTCCCCTAACCCCCACCACTTGAGGCCCGAGTTTATATCTCTGTGCTGTGGGGATGGATTGATGCGCCACTTTCTTGTTCACAGTGCTTGGAACTTTCTGTTGGTGGCCCAGTTCTCAGAGCCAGTCCAGCCTCCCCTCTAGGCTATTCTTGTTGCCTGAATATGAGGACAAGTCTGTTCCTCTTTCCATTTAGCCCCATTGGCACAGAAGTCACATAGAGGAAACATGAATTACTGTAAGGATCTATTTAATAATGCCCTAGACATTTGTACCTGTTCAGTTTGAGGCCCTATTCAACTCAATTTCTGAGAGAATGTAGACCATATCTCACTTTGTTCTAAGAGCTTTTTCAGAGCTGCTTTCAGTTCCCTTCAGTAGACCTTTGGTAACTTTCATTTGGAAATTAATTACTATTAACTGTTGCTTTTTTCAAAAACAGTAACGCTCTGAGCACTATGAACTGTTTGCTTTCAGTTGGTGAGGGGGACTTAAACTGTCCCATAATGGGGTATGTGCAAAGCTATAATAAGCTTTCATCAAGTCATAGTTCCTTTTTAACCTAACTTACTGCTCCCCACCAAACTCAAGCTACCTAAATCATTCATTTAATTACATTCCCTAATTAGGATTCATCTAAGAAGAAAAGGGTTAAAGGATGATGATGTGTTTGTGAAGTGCAGAAGGGAGTCTGTTCTTTCATTTCATGTAACTCTAGAGTCATCTCCCTCAATAATTTGATTTTGTCTGGTAGCACACATTGCAATGAGAATTTACTGGGCAAAACTATACTTGAGATAATTTTTCTTAATTCTCAGATTTCTGCACTGAGTGGCCAGCTGCACTGGACAGTGATGAGAAATGCGAGAAGCATTTTCCCATTGAAATTGACACAACCGATTATGTTTCAGCCGGACCATCTATTCGAAACCCCAGAGCACGAGTAGTAACCTTAAGGGTAAGAAATATTTTTTTAAAAGTAAGAATTATTATAGTACATTATTTCAAAATAGCATTTTGTATGTATGATTATAAAACTGATACTATCATAGAAAATTTGTGAAATACGAGTTTTAAAGTATTAAATAAAATTGCCTATAATTCTACCACTTATAAATAACCTTGACTACTGGAGTTCATTTTAGTATATATAGTCAACCTTTGTGTATATTAATAGGATGATACTATATTTGATTAGTTATCTCCTCTTTTTTATTTAACAATATGAATTAAAAATTTTCCAAGGTTATTAAACATTCTTTAATTTTTTTATTGAAGTTTAGTTGACATACATTATTACACTAATTCCAGGTGTACAACCTAATGACAATTATATACGTTACAAAATACTCACTGTGGTAAGTTTAGTTACCATTAGTCACCATACAAAGTTATCACTCTGTAATATTATTTTAATTTTTTAAAATTATTTTTAAGTAATCTCCATACCCGTGTGGGGCTTGAACTCACAACCCCGAGATCAAGAGTCACATGCTCTCCTGAATGAGCCAGCCAGGTGTCCCTCTTTAATATTATTTTTAATGGCTACATAGAATAACATGTAAATCAGGGTCTGTTCTGTGCTAAGAGAGTGTTTGAGGTTGGGGGTGAACATTGGTATATATAGTAAGAGACTGAAATCTGAAAGTTTGGGCTTTTTGTTCACTCTTTTCAGAGATTTCTTAGGAAATAAATGATAAATAATAGTGGTTTTATTTCCCCTTTCTAAGTATCTATAGCTTGTTTTTTCTTTTCTTTTTGTCTTTTTCATTAGATGAAATTTCTAAAATAATGTTTATGTAGTCCCTTATGCTGTTCTGTACTTCAATGGGTGTGCCTCTGGTTTTTAGCCTCTAAGTATAAATTGGTATTCAGCTTGAGATAATAGCCTCTATTATGTTAACGATCTGCCCTGTTCCTATAGCATTTTTGAGATGATCTCCTTTGAATCATTGTAGTAATGAATTATACTGTTAGGTTTTCAATTACTGAAGCGTTCTGAACCCGGATTATTTCATAGTACATCATTCTTTCACTTTACTCTGGTTTGCTTTGTTAGCGTTTTATTTAGGATCGTTTGTCCTCATCTCATGTTGCTTTGGAGAAACATTAAATCCTCGCTCTTTCTCATCAGGAGCATGCCACATACCATTGCACTTCCAGGTGTCTTGCTGTAGGAACTTCCACGTTAGTATTTGAAACCACTGTTAGTTTCCTCCGGTAAGAGTCTTGATCCACACGGCGTAGCTTTCTCACAGAGCAGTCACAGAGCATTTACCTGATGGGTTTTTTTTTTTTTTTTAACTAAAAAGGTTTTAGATTTATAAAAAAGTTTCAAGGATAGTTAACACCAAATTTCTCATGTTAACATCTTTATTATTGTACATTTATTACAACTGAGCCAATATTGATACATTAATAAAGTTCATACTTGATTCAGATTTTCTTTTTAAAGATTTTATTTATTTTATTTATTTATTTATTTATTTATTTATTTATTTATTTGAGAGAGCATGCACTAGAGAGAACATGAGTTGTGGGGGCACGGGGGAGGGAGAGGCAGACTCCCCACTGAACAGGGAGCCCTGTTGACACCAGGCTCTATCCCAGGACCCTGGGATCCTGATCTGAGCCAAAGGCAGATGCTTAACGGACTGAGCCACCCAGGAGCCCCTACTCAGATTTCTTTAGGCACCTCTTGGCTGTGGTGGTTTCTCAGAATTTCCTTGTTTTTGGTGACCTTGACAGTTTTGAGAAATACTGGTTATGTATTTTATGGAATGTACTTCATTTTAGATTGGTTTGATGTTCTTCGCATGCTTAGACTGGTATGTATTTTTGGGAGGAAAACTTCACCAGTAAAGTGCCATTTTCATCACATCATAGCAAGGGTAGAGGCTCCTAACATGCCATTACTAATGGTGAAGCCTTGATCACCTGGCTGAGGTACTGTTTGCAAGTTTTCTTCACTATGAAAGTACTCTTTTTCTTTCTTTCTGAACTGTCCCCTTTAGAAGGAATTCACTATGCATAGCCCATACTTACGGAGGAATTAAAAGTTATGCTACACCTTCTGCAGAGAGAAATATCACATAAATTGTTTGTAATTCTTCCATATGGGAGATTTGTCTGTTTTCTTCCATTTATCTGTTTATTCAACCATTTATATCAGTATGGACTCATAGATTATTTATTTTAGCATTTGGATTATAATCCAATAATACATTATTTTGTTGCTCAAATTGTTCCAGTTTTGGCCATTGATAACGCTTTCAGTTGGCTACTCTGTTACTTTGCAGTGCCCCATCATTTGTTTTTTTAAATACTTTTTATTTTTGGGCACCACAGAATGCTCCAGGCTTAAAATACACATTCCCTCTCCCAGTCCTAGAATCAACCGTTTCTCTGGTGAGCCTTGACTAATGTACTTTTGATTCATCTATTCTGGAGGATGACTGCCCCCTTTTTGAGATGCCTTCCAGGACCCTCAAAAAATTAGTTTTTGTACTCCATGTAGTGTGTATTTCAAATCAGAACAGTCCATGTGTGGGGCGCTTGAGTGGCTTAGTTGGTTAAGCGACTGCCTTCGGCTAGGGTCATGATCCCAGAGTCCTGGGATCAAGTTCTGCATCGGGCTCCTTGCTCAATGGGGAGCCTGCTTTTCCCTCTGCTCATGCATGCTCTATCCCTCCCTCTCTCTCTCTCTCAAATAAGTAAAATCTTAAAAAAAAAAAGGACCATTCCATGTGGACTGCAAAAATATGTTGACAGTCTCTGCAACCATTTTTACACTATAAGGTAACAAATAGATAAACTTCAATTTCTAGAAATTTTTCAGGGATACATCAGTGTTTGATTTGTAATTTTCTTTCTTTGCTAGGTGTTGGTATCAGGATTATGCCTTCTTTGTGAAATAAATTTACAAAGCTTGTCAGCCTTTTTTTATTCCCTAGAATAGTTTAAATAGCAATATATTTATGTGTTTAGAGAAATTTAAAATATTTAAAATCACAAAAGACAATACATGTTTAGTGTATAAATTTTAGAAAATCTAGATAAAAGTAAAAAAAAAAACAAACCTTAATATCCTGCTTGGCCAACACTCCACAGGTTAATATAAAGTACCTAGGGAGTGAGGCGCCAGATTCATTCAGTCAAAGGAGCGTGTGACTCTTGATCTCAGGGATGTGAGTTTGAGCCCCTTGGGTGTAGAGATTACCTGAAAATTAAAAAAAAAATTTTAAGTACTTAGGGGTAATTAATATCTGATATATTTTTAATAACTTAGTAAATGTTGCCTCCTGTTAATAATAATGATAATAATAATAACCGTTGTTGAGCTCTCTGTTAGGTGATAAAAAAATCTCTGAGCTCAGAATCAGGAAATCTAGATTTTTGCCTTACTTTTTGTGGGCCTTAGTCTTCAGTACCAGAATAGACATCTGGTTCCCTCCTTGTTCTGTTTGCTTATTTTATTTTACATAAAAATAATCCGATTGCATTATTTGAAGTATACCACAAGATACCGCTTACCATATCAGGCCACCATCCTCTCTTGTCTCCTTTTTGTCTTAAGCTACGATGTGATACCTTCATCACTTCTTTGTGTTCTTTTCCCCTGACTCGTGTCTGCCCTTCTTGGACTCTTCACTCTACCCACTGACGGTTGAAGCTCAGTGGTGGTGTCCTGAATGGTGTCATGTAGTTCAAGGGTAAAAGTAGGTAAAATAGTGGGACTAAAGCATGTGCATTCCGGCATGACTTTTTTAAATTTTTATTTATTTGGGAGTGGGGAGGGAGAGAGAGAGAGAGAGAATCCCAAGCAGTCTCCATGCCCAGCGCAGAGCCCAGTGTGAGGCTTGATCTCATGACCCCAATTTCATGACCAAAATCAAGAGTCAGACGCTCAACCAGGCGCCCCCTGGCATGATTTAAAGTAATAATTGTGAAGCCAGTCAAATATTATAAAGTATTATATAAAGAGATACTCAAATTTTTAAATTCAGAGAAAGAAAGATGGTATCATATTTTTCTTGATACTCATAAAGGTAGTTCAGAATTAAAAACAACTTAATATTTGTATAGGACTTTTCTTTAAAGATGTTTTCTTCTGTTTATTCTCATTTATTCCTGACAAAAGTCCTGTGAGTCCCTTCTGTTTGTAAATGAGGAAACAGACAATAAGATCAAATGATTTGTTTAAGGTTGCTTAGCAAATAAAGTAGCAAATCTAGAAATCAAACCCAGGTCTTGTCTTTTGTATAGAACTATATAGTTCTTTAACTAACTGTACTGTGCTTCTAAATAGAGAAGATAGTTGACACAATTAGACATTTCTCAGTTTATGTAGCTTTTAATTAAAATATGGGCATTTGAAAATACATACACATAACCATGACCTCCTATGATTTGAAATGTCAGTGTTGTTTTGGGGACAATGTTAATAGTATGGTATTGATTCTTTAAAATGTAGCAAATTGAAAAAAGAAAAGTCCAAGCATTCTTTTGAATTCTGGGAAAAGAATGGTCGTGAATGCTGCTCAACTTCAGAGTCAGACTATTAGTCAGGTTAAAGACTACAGTTTTGCAGTGCCGTTCAGTGCTAGCAGGTGGCGTGAGTGTACCACATAGCTCTTTCTAAAATATTTGAGTTTCTGGCATAAACTCAATATAATTTTTTAGTATTAAAATGTTAATGTGAATGTAAGTTTTAAAGCAGTTACAGTAATCAGCATTGCTGCCATTTTTTGGACTACTTACATAAAAGGCTAGAACACTTAAATTTTTTAAATGGTAAATTTTTAAATTTATTGATGAACATAACTACATTGAAGGGAGTTTTAAAAGGAAAAAATCATTCCATTCTCTTATTCTAATGTAAGAACTATCGTTTCTCTATACTGTATCTGTATGCATGCATATGTACAAATATTTTTATAATTATAATGTAGATTCATTTTACTATTTTCTTATAAGTAATTCTTATTGTTAATAATCAGAATTATAGTAATTCTTATTTTATCCCTCAAGCTGATAACCTAGTTGTTGATACATGTTCTTTCCAGGGGACTGTGGTAATTTGCACTGCCTGCACATAGGACCATTCTATTGGGTTGATACTTAATAGTCAATGTTTTTCCTGCATATGTTCTTTAAAAATGTATTTCTAATTATTTATTTATTTCCTATATTTTCTGTAGTTCAAATAAAAATTCATGGTGCTTAAAAAAAATAATGTGTCCTTTCTTTTTTCCATTTATGTGTTCATTCAACAAATACATGTCGTATGTTATTTAAGTGCTAGGCCATTGCCAAAAATAGGACGGATACCATTCTTATCCTCAAGGGCTTGCAGTCTAGTGGGAAAAATGGAAAAATAAATAAGCTCTTATGCTATAATGTCTTGAGGGAAGTGCAGGGTTATTGAAGCTAGAGAGAAGTGGATGTGATTTTAAAACCTTAGTAACCTTTTTTTTTCTTCATATAGTTATGGATCTTTCTTATTCTTTAATGCTGTCCATGGAAAACAGTCTGTGGTTTACCTTATCTAACTGTATTCTAGTACCTAACCTATTTTTCTGTGTCAAGCCTAGTCATCTTTTAGATACCTTCAACCCATGCCATAATTCTCTGCAAATTAAAAAGTGTGTTCATGTGGTCCAGCATTTTCCAAAATACATTTTAGGGAAGACTGATTCCCTGAACTGTCCCTTGAAACATAGAATATGAGGTCAAATAAATTTGGGAATTGTTACATGAGAACCCTGCATCTTGAAATTTCAGAATGCTCATTAGCATATTACCTCTTCTAAGAAATCCTTCTATAAAGAACCCAATTTAACTCCATATTTTCTGAATGTATTCAACAAAAATAGCTTTTTTAGAGAAATAATTCTTCTTGGCAGTCTCTGGGACTAGTATTAACATTTTGAGAAATGTTGAACTGAATTATCTCAAATGTTTTGATCCTTCATGAATGCTGTATTCCAGCCTCCATGAGATACCTGTACCTTTTAAAATAAATACCCCTAAACTAGTTGCAATGATAAAGGTCTCATAATTGCATGGTGGAAATGTGTTAAAGCCTTTTTGTTTTATCCATTTATTCTTATATTCCAGCTTTACTAATACTAATTGAGTTTAATTCTTCGTGCTACTCATAAGCTGTAATTTCATTTATTTAAGAGATTTGTTATTGGTTCTTTCAGGAAAGGTGCTAATGCCCAGAACTTACGAAGAACTCGAAACAGTTTACTCTGCCTCTCTTTTTTTCCATAAGTAAGATAAGGCTTCATAATGCATGCCAGTTGCTAACTCTGTATAGACAAGAGTGCAGCTGCAGCGTGGCAAAAGTTTCTTTTTGGTTGGTTTAACGCTAATATAAATAATATCGCTACTGTTTTTTTTTTTCACTAAACAAACTATCTGAAATAATTCTTTTCAAATAACTTTTTCTTGTATTTTTAAGGTTAAACTTTCCAGTTTGAATTTAGATGATCATGCAAAGAAAAAACTTATTAAACTTGTGGGAGAGCGATACTGCAAGACTACAGATGTACTTACTATCAGAACAGACAGGTAAAGAAAAGTTCAGCAGAGGGGCGCTTGGGTGGCTCAGTCGGTTAAGCGGCTGCCTTTGGCTCGGGTCATGATCCTGGGGTCCTGGGATCGAGCCCCACGTCCGGCTCCCTGCTCAGCAGAGAGCCTGCTTCTCCCTCTCCCTCTGCCTGCCATTCTGCCTACTTGTGCTTTCTGTCTGTCGAATAAATAAATAAAATCTTAAAAAAAAAAGAAAGTTCAGCAGATGGTCACTGTGTTGTTTTATTGTCTTCTAGTCCCCTGGCAGTCCTTTTCTTAAGAAATGATATTGAAAATCGGGGTAGCCTTTTATATCAACTTTCATTAACGTATTAGGTCAGTGAAGTTGTCCAATTTATGTGTTTAATATCTTCACACTAGTCTACTGTTGATATCCTCTTTATGGACATGGAGAGGCTTGCCTAACTGCCTTGTTAAATTATTGTTGTTATTTTTCAGTATTGATTCTAATATATCCATGCATGTAAGACCCAGGGAAGATGTTAGAAGAGAACAAAAGTATGATTTGTTAGTGATTAAGGTTTAAACAGGTTTTTACAAAGTCAAAGATCTTACAGTTCAAAATTTAAATGATTAAATACGGAAATTTAATTTACCTAGGCAATTTTGTAAATAAGTATTTTAGTGAATTTACTTCATAAAGACAGTATTAAATTTATAAATTAGGTCATTTGAGGTGAAGATGGGTTATTGGTATGTTTTTACAAAAGGGTTATTTTATTTCTTTTTGTAGAAGGGGGAAGGGCAGAGGGGAAAGGGAGAGAGAGAATCTTAAGCAGGCTCCATGCCTAGCACGGAGCCCGACACGGGGCTTGATCTCATTACTCCAAGATCATGACCTGAGCAAAATCAAGAGTCAGACACTTAACCGACTGAGTCACCCAAGTGTCCCAGGGTTATTTTATTTCTATCTTATCATATTTGGCTGTTTCTAAATTATGTCAAAATATAAAGACCTGCCTTTAGAGAAAAGCAAGTGGGAGATAAATCTTCTCTCCCTATTCCAATTTCAAAGCATTTGGAGGTGTCAATATCAGTTAGGTTTTATATCCTCCTTCTTAGTGGTGGGAAGAAGCATGGCATATATAAATGATTGCAACAATGTGGGGTGGAAAGAGCTTGGGAACCCTGGTTTCAGATTATTACTGTAGGGGGGAAAATAGATTGGAAATATATTAGTAATATTCTTTTTTAGTTTGTGCAACTTAAAAATACCTTTAAAATGTTGCTCTTTGAAATTCTATAAATATTTGACAAGTTTTTTTCCCCTAAGTTTTCAAGTGTCAGTGTGTGTGTGCTTTATGGTAGCAACTATTTAGAGAACTATTAAACCTAAGTATAGAATAAGAGTACCATTAAAGTCATTTGTCACATGGGTTTTTTTTTTTTAAGGTTTTATTTATTTATTTGACAGAGAGAGAGGGAGAGAGGGAACACAAGCAGGGGGAGTGGGAGAGGGAGAAGCAGGCTTTCCATGGAGCAGGGAGCCCGATCCGGGGCTTGATCCCAGGACCCTGGGACCATGACCTGAGCTGAAGGCAGACGCTTAACCTTCTGAGCCATCCAGGCGCCCCTGTCATATGATGGTTTTATTTTATATTTAAAGAAATTGGAATTAATGATTTCCTTTTCTACATTATTTTATTAATCTAAAAGCTAAACTTGCTATCTCATATTTATGTAGAAGTTTTATCTAATATTAGGTCTTTAATTCCATTTTAAATACAGCAACGTCAATACAGCATTGAATAGTGTAGCTCATTTTTTAAAAACTTGGCTCTGGAGAAGTCAAGATGAGCATTTTGATTAGCATCTGTCATCAGTCTATCTCTGTTTTTAAAATGAACTCAGTAGATATGCTCACACTGTCCAGCAGACTGTTAGCCCTGAGATTGTAAAGGGCACCTGAATTGGACACAGTCATATTAAAAATAGTATAAAACTATTATCAGATACAAATAGCTCCATTAGTGATGAAAGCAAAGAGAATTAAAAAAAATACATACAAAATAAATCAAAGCAACACCAGTTTTCAATAACCTTAAGTGGTGACTGACGTAGACTTCTCTTAGTCCAAGAACACAATTTTCCTAAAGGCAGGATATTTCCTGAAGATAGGGAATACCTGAATATAAGTTATCCTTTGTATTTAGTATTTGTGTATTTTGCAAATTATTTTATGTACTGAATTTTTAAAATTTTGACTTCCCTCTCTTTCTCTTACAGGTGCCCTTTAAAGAGACAGAATTATGATTATGCAATGTATCTGCTAACAGTTTTATACCATGAGTCTTGGGTAAGTGATTGTGTGTGAATGTTTAATAATTTTGTCAGTGTAATTTAGATGGTGTTAACATTTCAAAACAGTCTGGTAAGTACTCAGTTGAGGGTTTAATGAGCCACTAAACTACGGATGTATGAAATGTTATAAATAACTTCTACTGACATTGAAAATGAGGACCTTGAAATAGATTACACAGTCCATCTCTGGACCTTACAGAAATCAGATGACTAAATGCCTTTAAAATTCAGTTTCTGTCTTTGGTTGGAAGATTTAAATTTTTTTTTTTTTTCTTTCGTTTGACTTTGGCTGAAAGTTATCAAAGTTATGGAAGAGAGTTCATCTGTATAACTTGAGAATTTAGAATGCATCCTGCTGTTCAAATAAACTGTATAACAAAGCCCCAAAACTTTAAAGAAAGGTATTTTAAATATTTATTAAAATTTTTAGTTAATATATAGCCTTTTGTATGAACATTTCACTACATACATTAGGGACAGTTAAGGGCAATTAATTATTTAAGTAGTATTAAAAATATTCTTGTCTGACTGGGTTTATTGAGTTTTAATAGAAGCAATAGGGAAACAGACTTTTTCACTGAGTACAAACTTTCTAAGAGAGTCCTCTAAAGATGGAGTAGGCTACTTTTTTTTTTTTTTTTTAAGATTTTATTTATTTGACAGAGCACAAGCAGAGGAAGAGAGAGGGATGTGGGACTCGGTCTCAGGACCCTGTGATCATGACCTGGGCCGAAGGCAGCCGCTTAACCGACTGAGCCACCCAGGCGTCCTTGGGCTACTTTTAATAGGTAGAGAACGTTCCATCCATTGGGTACTTAGTGGGATTATGGTGGTGAGAGGATCACTCTCTTTGGATAGGTAGTTGGATTAGAAGCCCTTGGGAATCTCCTGCCATCCCAGAGATAATACAATTGAGTGAACACATGCGACCATTCTCCAGACTGCTCACAGCATTCCCTTCATATGAATAGTAAAACTGTAGCACAAGAGCATAAGTGGAAAATAAAAGAAAATAAAATTCTGTTACCAGGTTAGTAAAGAACAAAAAGTAGCTGGTAGCTTTTCTTCTGAGGTATTCTAATTATCATAATTCATCCGGATTTTCTAGTTCCTGGCTTCAGGAGCAACATCATAATAGCAGTTAATCTCTCTTTCCTGTCAGTTGATTTTATAAATGCCTTTTTGGCTTAACGTAATTAAGTTCTCTTTTGAACCAGCAACATGGCTGAATTAGCTACAGCTCTATGGCTGATCCTGAAAGAGTTAATATCAAACAATAAAAGCCAACCAGTTTTGAACCTCTTTTGCCAGCAGCCTGTAAAATGAATTTGCCCCAAAGGAAATGACAGGCATAACTAAATTCAGTGAAAGTTGACTTACTGGATTCTTTCTGTGGTTCCATGACATAGAATCCAAACAAGTTTGGATCAGCGTAAGTGGTCTTTGATCTTTAATGCTAATTACTTTGATGCCAGAATAAGTAGCCACATACATCTGTCCTAAACAGATATAGTTAAAGAATTTCTATATTAAACTTGGCTCTTGATCCTTTCTAAATAAGTACCATCAGTGTAGAAGCTTTAAGAGAATGCAGATGAGCCGTGAAATTTTGCAGAGCTGGTGGAACAGAATTTTTATTGAATTGAAGTTCTTTTTTCCTTCACTTCCCTTCCTTGGAGATTCAGACTTGAAATTGATGTTACCACCTGGTATTTAATCAAATATTTTGAGGAGCCCCCTTTTAATCCATTTCTTTATTTTTTAACTAGTTTCAGAGTATTTAATACCTAAAAGTAAGCTGCTCTTGATTTTCTGGCTTTTTAACCTTTTTGTGGAGGTTACCTCTAAGTGTTGAGGGAAAAGTAGTTGGTAGTTTTATGTATCACACAATTTGGAAACTTCTATGAAAACGTGCTCATCTAGACCTCAGGATAAGGAATTTACTAGTGTATTCTATTCTAAACCGTTTAACTTTGGAAGTATCAAAGTAGACTTCAAAAAGCATAGATTTCACATACCATAGACTTCAAGCAATGTGTTAAAGAATGGTTATGGCACTGCTAGGAGGTGGTAAGAGACAGACACCCTAGACCATTTATCCTTTGGTAGTTCAAAGCAAAGAGAGTTTTAGAAATTTGTTTCAGTATTTCAGTATGACATGTTGTTAGCATAGGAGTGAATTAAGCTTTATCCTGTGGAACCTGATAGACCTGGATGGATATGATGGATTTGAATTCCATTACTTCTTACTTATGTAGCTTTGGCCAGCCATTTGGCCTCTGAGGTTCAGTTTTCTTCTAAGGGTTTTTGGATAGAATTTGCATGAAATTTCTGGCAAGTAGTGGGCTCTCAGTAAATGGTGGCTATTAATATTGTTAATACTAAAAGGAAGAAAGATTTATCTTCAGATTTCAAATTCATGTATTCCCATTTAACTTGACAGATTTTAGGTAATCAGATCTGTGCGATGTTGTATTTGAATTTTTAGAACAGGTATCCTACTGAGCATTCTGACATGACTGATAATAACAAAACTTCCTAAATTTTAACATTGTTGAATGATATTCTTTAAACCTTCCACAAGTAATTTGGTTAAGCAATGATCAGATGAAACATTTTGCAAAATGATTTGCACAAAAGATAGACACTGGGGCAAGAAAAAAGCACTTAAAAATGAAGAGATCTGAAATCAAATTCCAAGGGTTCTTGAATGATTTTGATATTTAATTACTAATAGTTCCTTTTTTAAATTTGAACTTTTGACTGTCTTATTTGGATTCCATAATAGTCTTATTGCCATTCAAAAATACATCTAGCTTTGGGGTGTCTGGGTGGCTCAGTCATTAAGTGTCTGCCTTTGGCTCAGGTCATGATCCCAGGGTCCTGGGATCAAGCCCCACAATTGGTCTCCCTGCTCGGCGGGAAGCCTGCTTCTCCCTCTCCCACTCCCCCTGCTTGTGTTCCCTCTCTCGCTGTGTCTCTCTCTGTCAAATAAATAAGTCTTAAAAAAAAGAATACATCTAGCTTTGTAATAAATAGGTTCTTAAAAGTCATGTAACAAAAACTTCTGAGTCAGATAATTTCATAATCAGTAAGAGTTCATTTTTGAAGTAAAGAGATCATTTTAAAGTAAAGAGTTCAGGGGCGCCTGGGTGGCTCAGTAGGTTAAGTGTCTGTCTTCGGCTCAGTTCATGATCCCAGTCCTGGGATTGAGCCCCATGTCAGGCTCCCTGCTCAGTGGGGATCCTGCTTTTCCCTCTCTCTCTATCAAATAATAAAATTTTTTAAACAAAGAGTTCATTTTTAAAGGGGACCTTATGGCAAATATGTCTGATAAAAATGAAGAGTCCTTTTGCAGCTCCCTACTCACCATTTAATTTGTTGGTTTATGAGTTCATTGTGATGTGTGTGCTCACATACACATACATTTCCAGGTTATATTAAAGAACTCTTGAATGATGTTTGTAATGTTGTTTACTCTTCCCTGCATTCAACAATGATTTTGTTCTTGTGTACCAGGTACAGTGATAGGTATTGCTCGGACTATGAAAATGAAAGAGCCGCTCTGCCTTTAGGTACCTTTATTTCTGGAGAGAACCAGTGGTTATAATACAGTCTGTTTCACTCAGTAACAAAGGTAGGAACACAGTGCTGGGAGAGGCACCATCAAGGATTAATTCTCCCTGGAAGCTTCTCAAGAAGTGGTGACTGGTTTTGGAAGATAAGTAGGAGTATGTATTAGAGAAGTGGGTGAAGGACTCTCGCGTTGTGGATGTAGAGAGCAGGCAGAAGTTTGGTGTGGCTGGGGTGTAAGACTGACAGGGCAGAGGTAAGGAGGTGAGACTAGAAAAACAAGTCAGAGCCAGATTGTGAACAGGTTGTATAGCTTATTTACAGAGTGTAGAATTGTATCCAGGGGGCAAAATTGAGCCGAGGTAGCATTTTACTAGTTGTTTGAAAAGGTACCTCTTTCACTTTTTTAATGTTTATGAAATAGTAAACCATCCATATGGCAAGTGTCAGGTGTGCTTTCATTAAAATGAACTGTTTATTGATTGATGGGTGAGTATTTACTGGTTGCCTATTATTTGCTTGGTGTTGTTGCATATGGGGATTAATATATAAGGAGGAAGACTTTGTCTTTTCCATTGAGGAACACTAGTAGAACTAAGGTTTAGTAGTAAATATTACAGAAGTGTTGTTGTATAGTTTATTTTTTAATTTTTTCTACTTAATATCCTTCAAGGCTTCAGTTGATACCTGCTTTGAGCCTATTTTTTTGTGATATAATTGGTGTATAACATTATATTAGTTTCAGGTATAAAGCATAATGCTTCAATACATATATATTGTGAAATAATCACAGTATGTCTAGTTAACATTCATCACTACGTATAGTTACAAATGTTTTTTTCTTGTGTTGAGAACTTCTGAAATTTACTCTTAGCAACTTTCAAATACACAGTACAGTGTTAGTGACTATAGTCACCATGGTGTATATTACATCCCCATGATTTACTTTATAATTGGAAGTTTGTACCTTTTAACCATCTTCACTCACTTTGCTCAATCCCAACCTCTGGCAACTACCAATTTGTTCTGTTTCTGTGAGTCGAGGTTTTTTAGATTCCACAGATGAATAAGATTATATGGTATTTATCTTTCTCTTTTTTCACTTAGTATAATGCCTTCAAGACATTCATGTTGTCACAGATGGCAGGAGTTCCTTCTTTTTTATGGCTGAATAATAGTCCATAGTGTTTATGTATGTATGTTTACACACACACACTTAATTCTTTATCCATTTATCCATCAGTGGACACTTAGATTGTTTCCATGTCTTGGCTACTGTAAATAATGTTGCAGTGAACTTGAGGGTGCAGGTATCTTTTCAGGTTAATGTTCCTTTTCTTCGGAATTATACCCAGAAGTGGAATTGCTAGATCTTATGATAGTTCTATTTTTAATTTCTTGAGGAACCTCCATACTGTTTTC